CGGGTGTGTAGGGGCGGATGAGCTCAGAGAGGTAAGGTGGCGCGAGGCCATTTAGAGATTTGAAAACAAATAATAGGATCTTGAAAATAACTCTAAAATGTAGAGGGAGCCAGTGAAGGGATGCCAGAGTAGGAGTTATGTGCTCCCTCTTACGAGTACCAGTCAAGAGGCGAAGCAGCGGCATTCTGGACCAGTTGGAGGCGCTTAATGGAGGATTGGCTGACTCCAAAGTAAAGGGCATTGCAGTAATCGATCCAGGATGTGACAAAGGCATGCACAGATAAACTGGTATGCCACAAAGCTAAACATATGTGGAAAAAGGACGAGCTTAAGGCCAGTGGTTTTTAACCTGGGTTCAACCGAACCCTAGGGGTTCGGTGACTCGGTCTCAGGGGTTCGATGGAGCCTCTGCCATGGAGGTTAAGACGCACCCGACTCAACATGTCAATTAGTTATGACATGACCCCTTGGCCATCACTGGCTGGTTCATTTTGTGCACAATTAAAAAAACTTAATACTTTATACTGATACTAATTGTATTGACTTTTTTCTGTTTTTAATAAATGTGTTTTTTTTATGTCTTGACCTTGTAAAAAATCATATTTCTATTATTCACTAATGAAGGGTTCGATGAATGTGCTGGACTGGTTGGGTTCGGTACCTTGAACAAGGTTTAAGAACCACTGCTCTCAAAGAGTGTTATTTGCAGCACCAGGTGGGCATTAGAGGAAGCACTCCAGAGTGGTTTGCCTCATTTCAATGTTAACCCGCTTATGTTTTCACTCCTGTACTGTTCACATTTCAAGCTCCCGATTTCACGTAATTCATTTTCCATTTGTCGAGTTTACTTACAATGAACACCTTTACCACTTAAAATTAAACGACCAGATGTTTCCCACACAACAGTGAAAAGACCTTCATTCCAACAAACAGTAGGAAGCTAACTGCCGCCGCGATCTTGCTTATGAATAAAATGTACAGCGCGGGATTCCCCTCTGTTGCTTAGCAACGCTACTGAGCAACTTGTAGATTGTTGTACGTCTGGAGGCACGACGTGGTCCTGAGCACATGGTCTGAAGACGTGTGGTAAACGGAAGCAAATTTCGCTGTCTGTGCAGGCTGAAATTGTCTTTCACTTTCTAAAGGGAGTCTCCCAGACAAAGCTCAGCCGAGACTACGAAAAGGCAAATTCAACCATTTTGACAATCATCCATGATGGAAATAAAATGAGGCCAACAGATTGAAGGATGATCGTAAATGGCTTGGGGGCGCGGCACATCCTAAATTGATGACAGTTGGCTTCATCGACAACACTCGCAGTTGCCTATGGCGGGTAACATTTGCTGACTGAACTTTTTCAGAGAAGTAGGAACACTACAGTTGTTTGTGTCATGTCTCATAAAATCATATTTTCTTCTGACAGTTTATACTGTATTACATTATAATACATTTATAAATGTTTATACTGCATTATACATCGTAGTTGGCGGCCATTTTATTGGAATTGGTTACAATGAAGTACTGTTATAACGTACAGATTCGTCCCTCGAAGTATGTTGTAATGAGGTTCGAGTGTATTTGGCAAACAGAGAACTTTTTGTGTTAGCCTGGGCAGCTCTAAGTCCCACCCTGCCCCACTATTGTATGGCATTCCACAGGGTTCAATTTTGAGGCTTGTTGTTTTCATTGAATTTACTGCCAATGGATATCTAAAGAAAACGTGGTATGCGGACTTTCTGCTGATCAAATCAGACGCTTTCTCCTTAAAGCCACTTTTGTCCAGTCTTGAGGAAATCAAGGCCTGGATGGCACTGAATTTCTTGATTTTCAATGCAAAGATACCAGAATTTACGGTATTTGGTCCCAGTGGCACTTTTACATCCCACCCTGCTGGCTCCCTGGCACCTTATTGAAATTGACAGTGATTTTCAATGGGACTAGCAACTTAATTTTTTTTTTCCTCTCCAGCAGCTAACTCAGATAAAACCTCTCCTTTCTCAGCAGCATTTAGAAACTGTAATGCCTGCCTTTATTTCTTGGCAGGATTACTGTAATAAATTTTATTTTCGAGTAAACCAGTTCTCCCTCAAATGTCTCAAGTTGTTCCAAAATTCTGCTGCTTACCTCCTATCAATTTTATCATAAGACACGGAGCACATAACTCCCAATTCCTGCTTTCACTGGCTTTCTGTACATTATAGAGTCCATTTTAAGTTACTTTTAATTGTTTTCATACCTGTAAACTGTGTCTCCCCACCTTACCTCTGTGAACTCCTTCACCTCATTGCTCATGCCCCGTGCCTGAAGTCAGCAGACCAGACGTGACTCGAGGTACCAAGGGCACAACTGTATGGCTTTTGGCTCAGCATGAGACTCTGCATTGTTTTTGTGTTTTATGGTTGTATGTTTTCACCGTCTTTATTATTGAATGACTAATTTTTATTCATTGTACATAAAAAAGAAATACTCTGAGGTGGGTAATTTAAAATGTAATAAAATGATTGATTGCTTCAAACCGCAAATGCATTTGATCCAAAAAAGTTACTTGAGTAAAGCTAATGGAGTCACCTCTGGTTGGCATTATGCTTAAAAAAGGGCACACACATTTGTATTATAAGAAATGCTTTCAACTGACCATGTCTATGTAATAAGTCCTATATCTATATTTCACCCCAAAAGACCCAATATTTCACATATTCTGCCAAGGTATGTAAAATTATGAGCACAATTGTAGTCATGTTGGCAACATTTTGGAGGTGCCTAACATAACATTTTGCCTCTTACAGGGCAGTATTGGCAGCTTGCAGCCGTTACTTTGAAGCCATGTTCAGTGGAGGACTACGAGAAAGTATGGACAGTGAAGTCAATTTCAGAGACAGTATACACCCCGAGGTACAAATATTACAGTATTACTTGCAAGCAAAGTGAAATGAAATACAGTGGACCCCTACACACTTGTGGTCCAACATTGTACATTTGCTAATTTACATACTGTATTTGTATTTGTCAGCTGTCCTCCATTATTTGCTGAAAAACTCAACTATTCAAAGTTTTTGTGCACAGGCAAAAGCCATGCCTAATTCAGAAATATTGCTTTTGGTGCCATGTTGCAGCATGCTGGTGCTAAGTATATACACTGAACAAAAATGACAATTCAACACGTTGGGACTTCCTGGCGGTCGGCATTTTGGAGTAGTCACTCTTTTTGGCGCTCCTGACTTTATAACTTCTATTTTGTTATTTATTCACTAACCACAGCCACCAGCGTGGTGTTTGAATTTGGTAGACCTCTCTGTCAACTTTAATAAACTTATAGAAATGACCAGCAGAGCTTCGAGGAATCGGGAACAAAAGAAAGGGACAGTGACACCGCTAGCGAACCTAGCATGGCCATGCTTCAGGCTCCGCTAAAAGAGCATTGAACTTGGTTCCCCGCAGAATTTAGAGTATGGTGTCAAACTCAGGTCCTGGAGGGTCGCTGTCCTGGATGTTTTCCAAGTCTCCCTGTTGCAACACACCTGATTCAAATGATCAGGTCATCAGCAAGCTCTGCGGAAGCCTGACATTGAACCTGTTCATTTGAATCAGGTGTGTTGTAACAGGGAGACTTGGAAAACATGCAGGACAGCGGCCCTCCAGGACCTGAGTTTGACACCTATGATTTAGAGCAGGGGTGCCCATTACGTCGATCGTGATCGACCAGTAGATCAAGGACTGGTCCCAAGTCGATCCGAGGTGGAGAGGAAAAAAATACCCAAACACATTTGTGTCTCTGTGTATGTTAGTAATATATTTTTTGTGTTAATGAACACTGCGCCCTAATCATTCTATCAGTCTCACGTTCTCAAAAAGTATTTTAAAAAGAAAATAAAATAAAGCAGGTCATCTTTAACCTACGGTGACGTTTGACTGCGTCACCGGAAGTTGTTAGCACTCAGCAGTCTGCAGTTGCAGCTTGTGATCGGAGTTGTTGCGCTCTTTTATCGGTATCATTATTCTCATTCAGAGTTAATTTTGCACAATTCACCGAGGGGACGGGCAAAGAGTGGGAATCTGGAGGGCCGAGAGAAGCATTTTAAAACGGTACGCGTGAGCTAGGATCGTTAACAGGCTGCAAAAGTGCGTCGCGTGCCTCGGCGTCAGGCTATTGCTCATCATGGCATGCGTGTGGACGTGCGTATGCGCGCGTGCACAGTAACGGGTCGATCACGAGAGGTTGGTTGATCCAAAAGTAGATCTTTAGTCAAAAATGTTTGGGCACCCCTGATTTAGAGCATCAACTGAACATCTGGAAACTAAGATGGGTAATATCCCAACTACTATTACTAGCTGTGGTCACCGCATCATGACTTTTGGCTTCTCCTAATGAGGCTAATAGCTGTATCGCCTTGCACTGTATCCTGAGTTTGAGCTCTGTGGAAAACTGAAGTAATCAGACTCCCATACTATAGTTACCTAATAGAGATACGTAAGCTGAGACATTTCATTTCTGCTAATGATGTATCTGCTAACAAATAAATGTGATCTGACTTGTGGCCACACATTCATAGTTTGTATATATGTATGTATGGATGTATACGCACATAACTGTTTTGTTTCACATCTATTTTTGCTAGGGAGCCCTTCTTGTTGGAAAGCCACTATTTTGTAGTAGTTAGGTTAGAGATCCTTGCAGGGAAGAGTTTGAGCCCTGCTGTGGAATGGACACACAAGTTTTGTTGACTTTTATGGTGGGTTCAGGGCCAGTTATTTGTTTGTGTATGTGTGTTCTTCTATCCACCCCCCCTTTCATTTATTTGTTTGTTTTAGTTTATTTTGCATGATGGTCAATATTTCACCGCCTTTCATTGACATGTTACAATACCGACATACATTGTTGCGGTGAGGTATGACCAATACAGGCAGTAGTCTGGTTTATATCTTGGAATGTGAAGACAATGGGAACTGAAACTAGAGCGAAGAGGTCATGTCCTATTATCAATTTAAAGGACATACTTATTTTTTTCTTCAGGAGACACATCATAAAAAATTAGGTTGTGCAACTTAGGTGGAAGTGAGTTGGTAGTGTGTACTACTCTAAATTTAGTGTCTCACTCTCCGTGGCGTCAATCTGCCAAATTCTTGATCGATCAGTCAATCAATTTTCCAAGTCGATAAATGGTTGGGCTCCCGCACATTTTCACCTCACCAACTCTGTCCCTTTGTGCAAAACGTATGGACACTCCAGATGGAGAAGATAGTAAAATTCGGAAAATGCACTGTGCTGAAGAAAAAAAAAAAATCCTTGTATTTATTTCATTTTTTTTAACCTTTATCCAAAACGTTTTGTTGTTCTTCACTAGCATTTCTAATTTAAAAGTAGTAAATTTATGTACACAATCAAAATGTATTATACACCTGGAACGACCCCCCCCCCCCACTTAAATATCAGGAGAAACATATTTTTATTATTTCTTTTTTGCCCCGGCCCCCACTATCCATCCATCTTCTACCACTTATCTGGGGTCGGGTCGCGGGGGCAGCAGCTTTAGCAGGGAAACCCAGACTTCCTTCTCTCCAGCCACTTCTTCCAGCTTTTCCCGGGGGATTCCGAGGTGTTCCCAATCCAGCTGAGCGACATAGTCTCTCCAGCGTGTCCTGGGTCGTTCCCGGGTCTCCTGCCGGTGGGACATGCCCCGAACACCTCACCAGGGAGGCGTACAGGAGGCAGAAGAAGAGCCGGAAGAAGTGGCTGGGAAGGGAGAAGTCTGGGCTTCCCTGCTAAAGCTGCTAATCAGATGCCCGAGCCACCTCATCTGGCTCCTCTCGATGTGGAGGAGAAGCGGCTCGACTCTGTGCCCCTCCCGGATGACTGAGCTTCTCACCCTATCTCTAAAGGAGAGGCCGGAGACCCTGTGGACAAAACTAATTTCGGCGGCTTGTATCCGGGATCTCGTTCTTTCGGTCACGAACCATAGCTCGTGACCATAGATGAGGGTTGGAACATAGGTCGACTGGTAAATTGAGAGCTTCACCCTTTGGTTCAGCTCCTTCTTTACCACGACAGACCGATACAAAGTCTGCATCACAGCAGACGCTGCACCGATCCAACTGTTGATCTACTGCTGCCTCCTGCCCTCACTCGTGAACAAGACCTCAAGATACTTAAACTCCCCTACTTGGGGCAAGATTTCCTCCCCGACCCGGAGGGGTCACTCGACCCTTTTCCGACTGAGGACCATTGTTTCAGATTTGGAGGTGCTAATTTTCATCCCAACCGCTTCACACTCGGCTGCGAAACGCTCCAGCAAGAGTTGGAGAGCCCTGCTTAAAGGAGCCAACAGTACCACATCATCTGCAAAAAGCAGAGATTCAAGACTGAGGCCACCAAAACGGACCCCCTCAATGCTTCTGTTGCGCCTAGAAATTCTGTCCATAAAGGTTATCAACAGAATCGGAGACAAAGGGCAGCCTTGGCGGAGTCCAACCCTTACTGGAAATGAATCCGACTTACTGCCGGCAATGCGACAATGGTATAGGACCGAACAGCCCGTATTTCTTTTTTTCTTGTTTTTCCCCACTATAACACAGTATATTGCATCAAACTAAATTATGGTTTGTATTGTTGCGTGATGTTGATTAGGGCCTGTGGCAAATGTGCCATGTTCTGTTATTTTGAGTGCTGGTATTTCCCATTTCATGAAAGCATCACTCAATTCGCAATGGAGAGCGAGTGAGAGCTTTCTGCTTTGATGTCGACCAGGGGCATACCATACACGCACCGTTTTGGTTTTTCATAAATTTGAGTTCACTTAATGCCTCCTTAAAAATGTAGTAGACACTACAATATATTAGTGAACCAAATATGACGAATTACAATGGTAAATCAAACATACACCGTAACCTGTGTGTGCTACCTACAGCTAGCTTCCGGACGAGACTGTCCCTATGTCAGAAATTAAATCAGCCACAATGTGCTTCCTTTTTAGATGATCAAGTATCTTCGTCCTGTTGCCATGAAAGGCAGGTTTGAACTGTATTGAGCATTTTTTGGGTGAAATGTGCTGTTACTTTCAGACTCTGTTGCTAACACTACTTTGGCATGACACTGCATTACCCACAATGCTTCTGTGTACATCAATGATGACCCGGATTACCACTACTGCACATGTGCGTCGCAGACAGGCATACAGCCAGTAGGAGACGAGGCTTTTTCAAGAGAAAAACAATGTGACGTATGAATAATCACTTGTCTAATATTAAATTAATTGACGATTTTCCTGATCAGATAACCAAGCTTCTTGCCGTATCCGTAAGAGAGATCTCGGGCACTAGGGCTAGGTATCGTTAAGATTTTAACGATACTACTATTCTTAATGGTACTGCTCATCGTTCTGGTACTTATCGGTAATCTGGTTAGGACAGAAAGAATCAGATGTATTCTTCTCTCTGGTTCTTTTTATTGAAATGATTTTCCTTCAACATATGTCCACTATTTCTTGTTAGTGGAAAAAAAGCAGAAATGTATAACTTGTCGTCCTTAGCAAACCTAAAATACTTTTAAAAGATGTGGTTTTTCCACATCATTGTCTTGATCTCATAATGCACCACTTTAGGCTTCAAAATAAAGTAAGCAAATGCAAATACATAGCTGATATGAATATTTAATATATGAAATAATGTATTTTTTACCTTATACCTGTAAGCGCCTTGTTCGGCTGACGTCGTTGATTTATTTTCGGGTTTCGGGGCTGTATGCTTACCGTTTCCAATTTGCTTTGTTGTTCTTTCTCTACACCAGCGGTCCCCAAACTTTTTCCTGTGAGGGCCGCATAAGCTTTGCTTCTGTGATGGGG